CGCTCCCCAAGGGGAGCAGGGAGCGGGCCTAAGCCATCACTAGGACATCCCCTGAGGGCTCCCAGTATGTAAGAGGGGGCAGGCTGGGCTGAGGGACACCTCCCCCCCGCCCCCCAGCGCACAAATTTTGTGTACCAGGCCCGTAGTTAAAAAATAAAATGGGAGAACCTCTAAAATGTATGAAGAACATCTGAAGAGAATGAATCCCAACAGCCCCTCTATCACATATGATATCAGCCAGTTGTTTGATTTTATTGATGATCTGGTGGACCTCAGCTGTCTTGTTTACCGAGCTGATACCCAGACATACCAGCCTTATAACAAAGATTGGATTAAAAAGAAGATCTACGTGCTCCTTCGTCGACAGGCCCAACAGGCCGGGAAATAGTTGTGTTGGAAGCATTTGGGGGTTGGGGGTGGGCTTGGAACACAGGTGTGTACAGCTGTCTGTAGTGAAGTTTTGTATTATAGTAATCCTGTTTCCATTTTGGTACACTCTAGCCAGGATTGAATGTGTTAGATGATATGTGAGGATCTTGTTCAATCTGAACTCCCATCACCCCCCTTTTTTCTCTTTTTTTACTTAATGCTTTATAACATTCACTGTACTAACCCTTCTTCAAGTTGGAGTGGGGGGTAGTGACAGTTTAATTATGTGCTAAGATGAAGTCTTAGTGAAAAACAAATAAATGTTCTTTAGTTATAAAAAAATAAAATAAAATAAAATGAGTATTTATCACAAGAAAAGGAAATCTTAATAGATTGTAAAATGATAAAAACCACTATTTGTTATTATTATAATAACTAGAGGCCCAATGCATGAAGATTCATGCAAGAATGGGCTTTCCTTCCCCTGGCTGCTGGCACCGCCTTTGCTCGGGCCCAGAGCCACCTTTCTGCCTTCATTCTGGCCCAGGGCTGCCTTTCCACTTTCCCATGCTGCCCAGAGGCCCCGAGTGGCTGGGGCGGTGTGGAATGCCTGCGTCGTCACCATAGCAATGACGCAAGCATCCCACCCTGCCCCTGGCCACTTGTCGCCTGCATATGCAAATTAACCTACCATTTTTTGTTGGGTTAATTTGCATACTCACTCCTGATTGGCTGGTGGATATTGCAAAGGTACTGTCAATTGCATCTTTCTCTTTTATTAGTGTAGATAAGAACCAATTTTATTATAATTGACACAAAGTTTTGAACATTTTTTTCTTTTCATGCAGAAACTAATGCTCCTTCTCATAATTTAGATAATGCATGCAGGTAATAATCACAGCTTCTCATCAAGTTACATGCTTGTTGGTACTGGACAGATTTAATATTACAGCCAAAAGCAAAGAAAAATGTAGTCTTAGTTATCTTGAGCAGGCTTATATTGAGCCACATTTCTTCCATGTGCAATCGCTGGTCCAATTTAAAAAGCAGAAGTTTCTTTCTAAAGGTGTATTTGTAGGACTAGAGAACCTAGTCCTGACCTATGTCAATACCATCAGCAGTGGGGACTTGCCCTGCATGGAGAACGCAATCCTGGCCTCGGCCCAGATAGAGAACTCGGCCGCAGTGAAAAAGGCCATGGCCCACTATGACCCACAGATGGGTAGCATAAATGCTAACATAAAGCTAGCAATCTCTGTCATGAACTTCACCTCCAAGGAGAAAGGGTCTCCAATAGAAAGACAGGATCAGGAGGAAGGATGTGGTCCTGCTGAGGTGCCTGTAAGTTTTTACAGGATCACAGACTGGTTTTTGAGAAGCCTTTCCAAAAATGCCGAGGTCAAGCTAACATTTTCTCTGTACTCTTTCTACGTCCTATTTTCACATTAAAGGCCCAGTTAGCAATAAAGCGAAATGACTTTTATAAAGAGAATATTAAAGCATCATCGGATCGCTGCTCGGCTTTACTTAAGGATATCTTCCATTCTTTAGAAGAAGATATAAAGCAGGAGATTTTTTCTAAACCAGGAGGATATCGTCTCTTAATGCAGACTATACACGAGCTGAAGAAAAAGTATATCCAGGAACCCAGGAAGGGAATACAGGTAACCAGGATTTATCTGTCTCTCTGTTTCTCCCCTCAACCCCACACTTCCCTTCCTCCCGATCTCCCTCCACCTCCTTTCCTTGGATCTGCTCTCTCCACGATGGCTTCACTCCTCACCCCATATGGGACCTCAGCACCTACAGCTCCAAAAGTAGAGCCCTCAGTCAGAGAACAGAGACTCTCAATCTATATTTATATCAGTCACTTACAAAGGTTTCTGCTTCATAGGGTGCCAGGCTTGGCCAACCTGGAGCATGTGCCCACCCTGTGACAGGGGCCCCTTGACCAGCACAAGGACCAGGGCCAAGCAAACAATTCCTACAGGAAAAGATGGTGGGCAAACAGGAATAAGCGCTTCTTGCGATTTCCTATTACTAATGCCATTTTCTCTGGGTCCTAGAGTGAAGAAGTTCTTCACACATACCTGAGGTCCAAGGAGTCTGTGATTGATGCAATTCTACAGACAGACCAGAATCTCACAAAAAGGGAAAAGCTGATTGAAGGTGATGAGCAAGTCAAGAGACTAGATAGCTTCAACAGCTTTTAAAAGTTTAAATAATTTGGCTTGGAGAATCTGGGGTCCTTAAACAAGAGCCAGATGAGCAAAGATGCCTATTACTAGCCAAAGTCAGTCCCAGTGGGACATATGCAGTCAGCAGCAACAATGCCAGGTAATTTCACAAAGAAGAAAAAGCAAGGTGGTCACCCACATGAATTTGTCTTCTTCCTTTCCTCCTGGCAGTGCAACGTGTGAAAGCTGAATCTGCAGAGGCTGCAGCAAAAATGCTGGAGGAAATGCAGAAGAAGAATCAGCAGATGATGGAGGAGGAAAAAAAGAGTTATCAGGAATATGTGAAACAATTGGCTGAGAAGATGGAGCAGGAGAGGGCCGAGATAATGGCAGAGCAAGAGAAGGCTCTGTCTCTTAAACTTCAGGTATGTAATGGCATCACCTAGACCAGGGGTGGGCAAACTTTTTGACTCGAGGGCCACAATGGGTTCTTAAACTGGACCGGAGGGCCGGAACAAAAGCATGGATGGAGTGTTTGTGTGAACTAATATAAATTCAAAGTAAACATCATTACATAAAAGGGTACGGTCTTATATTTCAATAGCTTTATTCATTTTAAACCGGCCGGATCCGGCGCGCGGGCCGTAGTTTGCCCACGGCTGACCTAGACGTTTCCCTTTTTCTGTTTTCCGAACACTCTCCCTGACTTGTTTGTGTGGCTGTTAGAACTCAAAACCCGGAAGGACCTTGCTTGCCCACTTATACTTTTCAATCCCTGTCTGTCTGACTGACTTGGAGCCTGCCTATGTCTGGTTATTAAAATTTTTTTATTATCCTTTATCTCACATCCAGTCCTTTATCAGTACTCTATAGTTCTGGTGCACAAATTCGTGCACTTGTAGGGTCCCTCAGCCAGACCTGTGCCATCTCACAATTCGAGACCCCTCAGGGAATGTCAGACTGCTTGTTTTGGTCCGATCCCCACGGGTCAGGCTGAGGAACCCCACCAGTGCACGAATCCGTGCACCAGGCCAGTTTTGACCCGATTCTCTCAGGCCAGGCCAAGGCACCCCACCAGTGCACAAATCCATGCACCGGGCCTCTAGTATGCATATATGATCTTTGGTTAATCTCTTCCCACCCTCTGCCCTCCCCCCTTCCCTCAGAGATTTATCAGTCTGTTCCATGTTTTCATGCTTGTGCATTGAGCATCTGGTGGTCAGCGTGCAGTATAACTACCAGTCGAATAGTCAAACAGTCACTTAGGCTTTTATATAGAGAGAGTAGAGGCCTGGTGCACAAAATTTTGTGCACGGGTAGGGTCCCAAGCCTTTGCCGGTGATCAGGGCCAATCGGGGCCTTCCTTCGGGCTGATGGCAGGAAACTTCCCTTGCTGGGGCCTTCCTTTGTTCTGCATCGCCCCCTGGTGATCAGTGCACATGAAAGCGAGCAGTCACACTCCCGAGGGGACAATTTAGCATATTAGCCTTTTATTATATAAGGTTCTTCAATCAATGGTAGCTATTATCTTCTAAATATTGCAAATACTATATCTTACCTGTTTCTCTTGCTTAATATTATATGAAGCAAGAATTGCTGTGTACCTATAACTTATGAGAAAAAACAGAGGTTCAGAAAAGATGAGCTTTTTCAGGGTCACACAGATTGGTAAGATATCTGAACCACCTTCACCACTTAGAGCAGTGGTTCTCAACCTTGGCTGCACATTAGAATCACCTGGGAATCTTTTTTAAATCCTGATTTCTGGGCTTCATCCTCCGGAAATTCTGTTTCTTTGTTATGGGGTGGGGCCACAACATTAGTAACAAAGAAACAGAATTTCCGGAGGATGAAGCCCAGAAATCAGGATTTAAAAAAGATTCCCAGGTGATTCTAATGTGCAGCCAAGGTTGAGAACCACTGCTCTAAGTGGTGAAGGTGGTTCAGATATCTTAGGAATCTACAATCACTGTTTTTCTGTCACACCTGGTATGACTTGGTTCTAAAAGAACCTTTATGAGCAGAAAGACTCCTTTCCTCTCACACCTGTGTCTGCCACTCCTGACTGTTTGCTATGCCCTACACCTAGTTTGTGTAGTGAGTTATGTGCAGAAATCCTGTATGGACAGTTAGGGGCCTTGATGTCTCCTTACTTATATCCTGCTACTCTTGCCACCAAGCTGTGGAGGCTTAAATCAAATTCCCTAATCTAAGATACGGACACTTCCTTTGATTTTGAGAATGTTTTATTTCTGTCATGTGTATGTATATAAAAGTCTGAGTGTGTGTATCCTATCTAATAATAGACAAACATGGTAATTAACCGTAACTTCGCTACGCTTCCCATTGGCTAATCAGGGTGATATGCACATTAACTGCCAACTAAGATGGCAGCTAATTTGAATACTGCAGGCAGGGCGCAATAGCGCCATCCCGCCTGCCCTGCTGCCATCCGGGCCTGCTATTTGCGACCCGGGCAGCAGGTGGCCCCTATGGCAGCGGGACCGCAGAGATCAGCCACGGGCCACGCCCACAAACGGCTGACCGGTGCTAATGCACCGATCCACCACTGGCCATGCCATAAACGGCCCTCCAGCAGGGATCCCCGGCTGACTGGTGCTAACGCACTGATCCGCCACCAGCCACGCCCACAAACGTCCATCCCGAGGGGATCCAAGGCTGGCGGGTGCTAATGCACTGATCTGCCACCGGCCACGCCCACAAACGGCACTCCTGGGGGATACCTGGCTGACAGGTGCTAATGCACCGATCCGCCACTGGCCACGCCCACAAATGGCCCTCCAGCGGGGATCCCCGGCTGACAGGTGCTAATGCACTGATCTGCCACTGGCCATGCCCACAAACGACCCTCCAGCGGGGATCCCCAGCTGACCAGTGCTAATGCACCGATCCGCCACTGGCCACGCCCACAAACGGCCCTCCCGCGGCGATTGGGGCTGGTGGGTGCTAACGCACTGATCTGCCACTGGCCATGCCCACAAACGACCCTCCAGCGGGGATCCCCGGCTGACCAGTGCTAATGCACCGATCTGCCAAAACGCACACCTGGGCCACCTTAGCCCTGCATGAACTATGCAGCCGGGAGAGGGGAGGGGGGCCCCTGGGAGCAGGGCGGGAACTTCCCGGGGTTTGTGTCAGGCAGCCCAGAGCAAAGTTCGAACTATCCCTGCCAGTAGCTGCTTGCTCATTCACTTACTTGCTCATTCATTCACTCATTCACTCACTCATTATTCACTCACTCAGCAAACCCTCTCATGTCCCTGGCACCAGGCCAGGCACTGAAGTTGAAGCAGGATAAGACAGAGCTACGTCCTCAAGATATTAGTAATTCAGTAGGGCGAAGCAGGCACATGAACGAGGCAGTTGTATGCACAGATGCAGTGTACTGGGTTCTGTGATCTCTTGATAAAATGGGGCCTCGGGAGCCAGGCCGCCCAAGCCTGTAGGCCTGTGCCTAGGCCCGGAGTGGCCGGGGTCCCGGAACATAACAGAGGGTGCAGGTCGGGCTGAGGGATCTGGCCCCACTCCTCACCCTCACCCCCGAGTGCACAAATTTTTGTGCACCGGGCTACTAGTGTGTGTATAAGCGTCTATAAGATTTGAAAAGAAACATGATTAAGATTGCCCACATAGCCCTGACCGGTTTGGCTCAGTGGACAGAGCGTTGGCCTTCGGACTCAAGGGTCCCAGGTTGGATTCCGGTCAAGGGCATGTACCTTGGTTGCGGGCACATACCCAGTGGGGAGTGTGCAGGAGGCAGCTGATCAATGTTTTCTCTCTCATCGATGTTTCTCACTCTCTATCTTTCTCCCTTCCTCTCTGTAAGAAATGAATAAAAATATATTTTTTTAAAAAAGATTGCCCACATAGGTTGTATAGAATTAATGGGACTTATAATTTAAGTTTATCAATATATTAGAAGGTATAAGCCAAAATCTCTCTTAGCTAAAGGAGGCTCAAGATAAGCAATCATGGAGCTAGGATGTCCAGGTAAAAGTATCCTATATAATAAAAGGCTAATATGCAAATCGTCCCCTCGACTGGGAGTTCAACCACTCGCTATGATGTGTGCTGAGCACCAGGGGGCGGCGCGGAACATGGCGGGCGTTGGTGACGCAGTGCTGGCAGTGGGCGGCAGTGGAGGTGCTGCTGGCCCCAATGGGCCCTGATGAGAGCAGGACCACAGTAGGATGGTGGACCAGGTAAGTGGGCATTAGCAGGGCAAGGTGAATGCGAGCGGGGCCCCATTGTCCCGCCAATCACCCTGAAGATGGCGAACAGTGGCGGTAACAGGGGGCAGGGCTGACGCCTGGCTCCCAGGCGCTGAGGAAGCTTGGTGGTCCCAGTGACTCAGGAGGAGGGGTGTATACAGGGGCCCGGGGGCCCAGGTGCCGCCCAGGGCCCAGAGGTTAGCTGGGACCTGCACTTCCATACCAGATGCTCATGTTTCAATCACCAGCCAGGCCTAGGGACTGCACCTGTGCTTGGATTTCATGCATCAGGCCTCTAGTAATGAATATTTACGGTACAGAAAATTTCAAGAAGAAAGTACTCAAAAAAACACACACCATAAATGTGGAAACTAACTAGAAGCTGAGATTTGCTTACTGCTGTACTTGATTTACTCTTTATTTTTCCCTTTTTAGGAACAGGCCATGTTACAAAAGGAAGGATTCCAAGATGAGAGCAGACAACTTCAGAGAGAAATAGAGAATCTCAAGAATAACATGGCAAGAAGCAGGAAGAAATGTATCTTAATCTAAAGACCTAAAGGAAAGAGATTCCCTGGTCAGTCTACTCAAGGCATTACTCAAGCAGTTTTAGAATTTGGAAAAAGTCACAACTTGAGAAAAAGTGACCCTCTTTAAGCTGATAAAAGAAATCTACAAAAACCCCTTCACCTAACATACTTAATGATAATAAATGGAATGCTTTGCCCTTAACTCAGGAATAAAGCAAGGATGTGCAGTCTCTCCACTCCTGTTAAACAGTATAATGAAAGGCTTCCTACAATATGGGAAGGAAGGAAGGAAGAAAGGAAGGAAGGAAGGAAGGAAGGAAGGAAGGAAGGAAGGAGAGAGAGAGAGAGAGAGAGAGAGGAAGAAAGAAAGAAAGAAAGAAAGAAAGAAAGAAAGAAAGAAAGAAAGAAAGAAAGAAAGAAAGAAAGAAGGAAAGAAAGAAAGAAAGAAAAAAGAAAGAAAGAAAGAAATGAATGGGAAGAAGGGAGGAAGGGAGGAAGGGAGAAAGGGAGGAAGGGAGGAAGGGAAAGGAAAGAAGGATAAGAAAGAATAAAATAAACTGCCTTTATTCTCACACACTTTGATTATCCACATAGAAAAATCCCTGGGAATCTACAACAAAATAGCAACAACAGCAACAACAAAAACTCTTGGCACAAATACGTGAGTTTAACAAGGTTGTAAGATTCAAGGTCAATACACAAAAATCCACTTTCAACTGTATTTTTATATAAAACCAATGGACTATTGGAAACCAAAAATTAAAAAACCATACCAATTACAATAGCTGTTTTTAAAATATGGAATACTTAGGTAGAAATATAACTAAACACGCAAATGATCTTCTATGCTGAAAAACATTCTAAGACCAAGAGATTATGGGGTCGATCATGATGTATGAATTTCCTTAGATTCCAACTCCCTTGTAGTTTTTACGATGTTACTTTTACTCATTGTAGAGAAGAAGATTCAAGACCCTTATTTTTAGAGTTATCCCTGACAAAAGCATGTGCCTAGTATTTGTTAAGTTTCACTGAGCACTAACAATACACAAAAATCCACTTTCAACTGTATTTTTATATAAAACCAATGGACTATTGGAAACCAAAAATTAAAAAACCTGTTTTTTAAAAATGGAATACTTAGGTAGAAATATGACTAAACACACACATGATCTTCTATGCTTCTATCTTCATTCTAAGACCAAGAGATTATGGGGTCGATCATGATGTATGAATTTCCTTAGATTCCAACTCCCTTGTAGTTTTTACGATGTTACTTTTACTCATTGTAGAGAAGAAGATTCAAGACCCTTATTTTTAGAGTTATCCCTGACAAAAGCATGTGCCTAGTATTTGTTAAGTTTCACTGAGCACTAAAACTTTGTCAACTGTGGTGGGCAGGGGGGTATGGGGAGGTCAATGGGGGAAAAAAGGGGATAGCTGTAATACTTTCAACAATAAAGATAAATTAAATATATCTATCCATTGTGTGTTAGGCTTTTATCCAAACAGAAAGAGGAAAATATATGGCTCAGAACTCAGTGTCACATAATATGCCTACTACACACACACACACACACACACACACATCCTACCCTTCCCACTCACTGTGAGTTTTTTAACAGACAGGATTTCATCAAACACAAGACAGGAAAACTTACTCAGAGATTTTTTCCCCCCAAACTATGTACAAAACAGAGTCCCTAGGGAGTTAGATGAGGCTTCGTGAAAAGCAGCCATTGCTTAGGTTACAGGGATCATTCATTCAAGAAACATTGGTTGAGTACCTATCACATTTTGCCAAGGAGTGGGAATACAGTTGTAGTCCCTCTCTTTGTGTGTGTGTGTGTGTGTGTGTGTGTGATAAAAACAGTTAACATAAGACTTACCCTACAAAAAAAAATGTTCATTACATAACACAGCATTGCTAACTACAGGTACTATGCGGTACAGTTGACATACTCACCTCCTATCATCTCACCCCTCTACTCGGTCCTCTACTCTCCAGGATGCATTCATCCTGCATAAGGGAAACTGCGTACCCTCTGGTCAGTATCTCCCACTCTCCCTGCCCCAGCCTTTGGTCACCACCATTCTACTCTCCGCCTCTACGGCTCTGGCGTTTTCAGATTTCTGATGTAAGTGGGATCATGACGTACATTATTCAAACGTGCCATCTGCTACAGCAGGGAGGAACTTCGAGGGCGTTAGCTTCCCCAGCACTGACCACAGCATGTCCTGCAGGTGTGCTTATGTTATCCACCTGTGTGGCCCCCGACCCCCGGGTTGGGAGTGACCCGAGGATAGGACGGTCTCTGGTTTGCTGGCTCCCAAACCCCCAGTGCCTGACACATAGTAGGAACTCTGAGAATGCTTGTTGTTCTCTCTTTCAGGAGGGAAATTTGGCAATTTTATATCAGATGTCATAAAATGTTCATATACTTGGACTTAATAGTGTCACTCGGAGGCTCTTATTCTAATGAAATATTCAGAGAAACGAGGATTTCTGGGTATAAATGTTCTCCCGATTGTTGATCAAATTGGCAAAAATCACTTTTTCAAAACAACTTAAATATCCAACAATAGCAAAGGGATTAATTTGTAGTCCATCCATACAAAAGAATGCTTAAAATGGGTAGAGAAGAATACTGAATGAGATGAAAAAGTGCCTACCTCCAATGTTAGGAAGAATAAAAAAGCTTACAAAACTATTAAGATACTTGCAGTCTCAATTTTGTTTAAACACACACACACACACACACACACACACACACACACACACTCACTCATTGGTCCCACAGAAGTAGCCAGCCTTGGTTAGAGTGCATTGAACGAAGTGGGGTGAGGGGGTGAGGAGTTGGGGTGGAGAGCTGAGGGTGTCAGATCACAGATCCCGACCCTTTAGATTTCTGTTCCACCCACAGAATTGGAAACACAAGTTCCCAATCTGTATGCACCGGTGCCTGGAGAAATACTCCTGCTTGTACATTCCAGGCAGCCCGCTGCAGACCCAAAGCATTTCCCATCCCTCCTTTAACTTCACCCTCAACCTGGGCCGTTGCTAGGCAACCCACAGCCTCCCAGCATCTCTCCTAAACCTGCCAGTCCCCTGCCTGCTTAACATCTACCCTGGAGACCTCAGCCTGAGAGCTTGACTCAGCCTCACAAAACAGTGTGTGCACATGTCTCAGCGTGTGTCTGTGTGTGCGCGTGTGCGTGTGTGTGTGCGTGTGTGTGTGCGTGTGTGTGTG